TTCTCAACCTTGGCAGCTTTCAGATGTGTGGACTTCAACTCCCAGAATTCCCCACCCCGCAAAGGACTCCCCCAGGCCCGCCGGGGGATTCTGGGAGTTTAAGTCCACACATCTGAAAGCTGCCAAGGTTGAGAAACACTGATTTAGTGGATCTGCCAGTTCTTGTTGCCCGTAATTGCACAACATTTGGTTCATGGTCTGACCTATTATAATAGCCATATGAATTCTTTTTTCTGACTCCTTTGTATATTAAAATTTTACTCCTTATTTTGTACATGAATATAACTGCAACAAACAAGTGCTGTGAAACATAATATGTGATTTAAGTACATGGTAATCTGATTTGAGATTTGCTGTGGGCTATCACCGTATAATGTTTTGAAATGGTCTACCTCAGTCTGATGAAGACTACTCCAGCTACCATAGAATAACAACAGGAAGTTCAATACTGTATTGAGTTAGGAAAGGTATCAGAAAGACTAATGCAAATAGAATATTTTGTAAGATGTTTCTGTTTTTCCCAGAGTTTGGTGGTAAGGTGCATGCTGTCTTGATGTACCTTACCACCTTATTATACAATTTTCCACTATGTAACTGAAGCTGGTTATTTGTTTTCCATGCAGTTCATGACAAAAAACCCAAATAAGCGTCTGGGCTGTGTGGCATCTCAGAATGGTGAAGATGCCATTAAACAGCATCCATTTTTCAAAGAAATTGACTGGGTTCTTCTAGAACAAAGGAAAATCAAGCCACCCTTCAAACCTCGGATTGTAAGTATTGATCTGAGTTGTGCAAGAGAACTTGGCTGAACATACATTAAAAACTGGTTGATTACCTTTATGATAGTACGGCTGCAAAAGTGCAATAGAACTGATATAAAGTGGTCAAATTTATGCCATACCAAAGAGAGTCAGGTAATTGGTTTCCTTAGAGGTATGTGTCATACTTGTTAATGAAGCACTGAATGTGGAAATGATCAAAGGTTATGATATCCTGTTTTTGAAAGTAAATCACAGAAAATATTGCCATTATTGCTTGATAACCTTAGTATCTAAAACCATTGATTTTGTGTTATGGAGTGATAAGGTATCATGTTCTTCCACTTACTATATTGTCACTGAAAACACAGCCAAGGTAATCATGTATCACACATTAATCTAAACATGTGAAGGTACCCTCAGTATCCAAAAGTCATATTGGAATATATATTCGTCTATGTAATAAACCAATACCTGCATCAATTGGGAATCAAATTTATGATATGTCATACTCAGTTGCGTTTTGCTTAGATACTGGATCACTGTTGTTTGACTGAGATTCTTAAATAGTACTGCTAGTATTTCCGAATTCTAATTCTGTGAAAACAGAAGCTCAGGAAATTCTCTTTGCTATTTATTCCTTGCTCCTGATTCACTGGGGACTTGGTAGATGCTGTAGTGAAATCCAGTGTATGGTCTCTTCTCTTGCTGGAGATCCTAATACTGTTAATATATAGTACTGATGAAATGTATTTTATTACTTCTTCAAAAGAATATATTTTTCCAATGATAAGAATTCATCAAGAAATGTCCAATATAATTTTCCTTAAAAAATCCCCATTATTTATACTCTCGGGGTTTGTCTATGTATGATCATCAGATAAGAAATTACTTTCCTGGCTGAGCAAGTCATTCAGAATAATTCTCATAAATGGGTCTTTTTCATAGCACTTAATGTCAAGCCATACACATCTGAAAGGGTTCTCACTGACTGATGAAGAGTCATGAAATCTTGAGTGATGGGAAACCAGAACATGCACATTCAAGTGGGGCCTCCTTTCTGTTCTCTTACCACAATTTGAATTATTCTCACTCAGTCCTTCCCTCTATTGTATGTTATTTGTGTGTGTTTTGAACATTGAGGCTCTTTAATTCTAAGCAAATCTATTCATACCATATAAATGTCTGTCTGTTTTGAACTTTGTTTTTTCCCCCAATGTTGTCATACTGTTCACTAAAAGACTGACAAGAATTGAATATAGAGTAAACTCACTTGCATTTCCTCATATTGTTACCCTCTTTTCCTCTGAGGATGAAGTATGCCACTTGCTGGCTTTTATCTGTGCATTATTTTATTACTTCTTCTTCACAATTTCTCATTCTAAGCCAAATTAATAATAGTCAAATATAGCACTGACTTCAGACTTGCAGGAAAAGAGGGAAGAACTGGATAAATACAGATGTGTGTTGTGCTTCTGCTAATACTTTTGTTGCTTCTCCAGCTAATAGCTGAACTAAAATATAGAAGTTTTGTAGGCAATTAATTGCTTCCACTAAGTTTCCATCCTAAGTATGTAACACCAGTATGTAACTGGTTGGAGCTTCCACTGATCATCGCCATGACTTAGGGATACTTGTCCAGGCTGAAGTCTAGACCCTTGTGATGTTAAGGAGAATAATGAAGCGGGGAGGGAGCGAGTTCATATGCCAAAGGCACGTGCTCAGTGTTAAAGCTGAGCTACAGGAAGGTGAATATAGGTGCATATGCATTCATTACTGGGCTACTGAACCACAAAATGAATTTCAGAAAGCTGCAGTTGATTTCTTTGTAAAAATACTGAGCGGCTTTTATGAACTCAAAGTACCTGTTCATAGAGGAGGCTGCTCAGGGATCTATTGCTCCAATTTCCGCCTTCCAGTCAACAACCGCTGCTTGAGGTAATTGTCTGTTATGTTAGATTGTCATGTTCACTTTGTTATGGTATAAAATCACAACAGAATCTTGCCCAGCCCACAAAGAAATTTGCCTGTGGTATTTCTACCAGATTCAGCATTCCAAATTAATCTTCTGTCTGGAAATATATCCAGAGTATTAACTTTTTAACACTGTAAATAAGGACAACTCTACATCATTCTAATCTGATTAAGGATGGCCAGATCACTCTAATTTTGTGTGCATCACTTGTAAATATGTTCATTCCTAACCGCATTCCATTTTTGTTTCCTCATGAAACCCCAAAGGGTTTTTTTTGAGATTTATGTATCTATTTAAATACACTTTATGTACTACTTACCTTAATGTATGTATGTATGTATGTATGTATGTATGTATGTATGTATGTATGTATTGGTATTCCCAAGTAATTTAGAAAGAAGTTTGTCCCGTATTTTGTGAATTGATGGTTAAAGCAAAACACTGTATAGGAGCAGAAGCTTTATCATGAAAGCAAAACCTGAGCCTCCTTTCAGCTCTGAATATGGATAGCTTGGCCCAGTGAAATAAACTCCACAGGGAATTTGTAATACATTATATACACCTTCAGGCCTATGCAGTCTATGAGTTCTTTTTCTTTCCCCTTAATTAAGAAGAACTATTTATGTATGTATGTATGTATGTATATACAATGATTGATATAATTCCTCCTCCTGCTTCTCCTAAATCTCTTGATAGCATACAATAAAGTAAAAAGATATACAGGATTATACATTAAAATCAGTAAAGAATGGCCATCACATGGCCTCTAAATGAAGTAAATACTGTGTCATCTGCTTCCAGTTTAGCTGCACCTCCAGCTCCAATGGTCATTGAAGAAGCACAGAAATACTTTCTGAAAAGACAACAGGGAAGATTCCAGCCTACAGGGTGGGCTGATCCAAAGCAAGGGGGCTGTCATCAAGAAGGCCTGTTTTCTGACTCCCCTCTCCCTTAATATCTCATAGGGAAGGGATTCCCTACCCACTCAGCCTGGTCAGACAGTCCCAAAGCTAAGGATGGCATGAGCCATAAAGTGCTGTACAAGTGGTAACAAGCATCTTGAATTGGACCTGGAAGCCTACCAAATACCAATGCAATTTCTGCAAGATTGGTGTGATTCTGTTGTACTAGTATTGGGTGGGCAGCTCATGATGGACCAGTTGTAGCTTCTGACTGACTTCAAAGGCAAACTCGTGTAGAGCAGAATATGGTAATTCAAGTGTGACATGGCAAGGGTATCAGCTACTACTGCCAGAGTCACAATTGGCACATTAGCCAAAGCTAAGCAAAATCTCTTCTAGCCATCCATCTAGGAGCAGTGAGTCTAGAAGGAACCCCAAGTTGCAGATGTGCTCTTTCAGGAGTAGTGCCAACTATTCAAAGCTAAAGACGCCACCCTACCCAGAGCTAACTATGGAACTTGAAGATTTCTGAACAAACAGTACTTGGAATCCTCCCATCCTTGTTCCATGCAGCCCCTCAAAGCCTCCAGACACTGAGTCAGGACTTTAGTACATCTGCTAAGCTGGAGGTGGAAATATAAACCTGAATATTATCAGCGTACTGATAATACCTCACCCTGAACCAATGGATGATTTCTTTCAGCTGTTTCATACAGAAGTTAAACAAAATGGGAAAGAGGTCCAAGGGTTTTGCCCCTCATTCCCCACCAATACTGATTGAAACCCCAGCTCAGAAAGGAGTGGAACGATGGCAAAATACTGCCTCCAACTCCCAGCTTTCACATGTAGTCTAAAAAGGTATCATGTTCAGTGGTATTGAACCCCAAGAAATCAAGCAAGACAAGGACTCTCTTTCCTCATCTAAGTCCCTCCACATGCCATCTACAAGAATGACCAGTATTTTTTCTGTCGCATGCCCAGCCCTGAACCCTGCTGGAAGGGGTCCAAATAATGTGCTTCATCCAGGGCTTTCTGTAACTGTTAACCCTTCAGTTTTTCAACAGCCTTCCTTAGAGAGTCGGAGACTGGTTGATAGTTATCCAGAATAGGTAAGCCAAGGGTTGATGTCTTAAGGAGAGGGTACTCCACTACCTCTTTTAAGGCTGATGGCATCACCCTTCCTTCAAAGAAGCATTCTCAGTTGCCCAATCCCCAATTCCTAGTCCCCTCACTGGCAGCTTATGCAAGCCAGGAGGAGCAGAGGTCCAGCACCTAAGTCTGTCCATATAATCTACTGCTTAGCTAGAAAAAGAGTGAAAAGTACACGTGCTTTGTGCATGTGTGTTTGGGAAGAAAGGCAGAAGGAAGTGACCTCAGAGAGCAATCTCTTACCCAAAGTGCAGACACAGCGATAGGCAAAGGGGAGACAGACTAAATCCTTAATTCTGTAGCTACATCCAGCATGGCTAAAGCAGAGGATCGCAAAGCAGAAGTGATCATTAGGCTAGGCTACTTGTGTTGCAGAGACATTTTGAAGCCATGGGGAAATGTTGAAGGTCTGGTATCCTCCCCTCCCCCCCAGAAATGTATGCAGTGGTGATTGTGATTGGATAGGAAAGGAAAGGAGACCATCTGGCACATTCCCCTAAGTTGTCAGTTGGGCTGTACGTAAGCATGGCTGAACTGGAATCTTTGGTGGGCACAGAGATCTGGGCATTCTTTCAAGAGGAAGTAGCTTAGAGGCAATCTTGGAGCATCATCTTCACAGAAGAGGGAGAAAGGCTCTTAAGGTTGTTTGCGTAACTGAAAGAGAGGACAAGAGTAAGACATATTCAAGGGGGCTGTTTGGGTCTGGCAGAAAACCCAAGAGGAGAATTCCACTGAACTCCTTGAGGTAAAGACCGTTTGAAATAAGATCCAAGGAGAAACACTTCCTTACCAGATTTAAACTAATGAATGTTATTTTAAGAACATAACATCCCTTATTGTTAACTGAGTACATAAAATATGCAGAGCAATCCTGTCTGTGCCATTTGGAAGGGAAAGGTAGGGTTTATTAGAATTTACTTTCAAATAATCCTGCATAGGATTGCAGCCACAAAACCGTGGCTAGATTTCAGCACAATCCTATAAAT